AGCATTGAAAGACTAGAGGGAAGGCAGCTAGTGATCACCACCTACCGCCAACTCTTGGGCTACTCTTTTACCAACGAATAGTGGGATTGACCGTCAGATTATAACGCCTCCACAGCAGAAAGGGCGAGCATGTTTGATGTGACGGGGACTCGAACCAGCGACCCTCAGATTGCGAGTCGAGCGCCCTAACCACCTGGCCATGCCCAGCCGGTTGTAAGGGGAAAAAAATATTTTCTTAAACACACTGTTAACGAACCCTGTCATATATTTACCACATACACACACACACTGTTTTTAAACTTTGGTTTTATTATCTGACAGTTAGCCTGAAGACGGCTACAACAGAAGAGTCTAAAGCTTGCTAAATGAGTAACGAACGTGGAGACAAAAGCCCTATAGGGTTGTCTTTTACGATTAATTTTTCAACAATATTTTAGAAGCTCTGACGTTACCTTCGAGAGCTGTCTTGTGGCTAGTATTTGTCGTATCGCATAAAGATAGACAATTCCAATATTCAAACACACCTTGAGATAGTCTTACTAAAACAAATAACTTGTAAGACGTATACTGACATCATTTTGGTTTTGATAGACAGTTTCATATGAGATGATAGAATAATGACAATAAGATATTTATTCGTAATGGGATCAAATTTCGAGGACAAGCTGATAAAATTAAACTCTCAATCAAAGGGAAGATTAGACATTTCAGCTGAAGGAGAAAATCCTTGAAATGTCTTATGTACGTCATTTTATATGAATCAAGACGAGATATGTAAGTTATATTAATAACCTCTAATGAGTTTCTGACCGAATCGTGTAGTATTATGTTACACGTAGGCAAAACAGGATGAGTTAGCTTTATTAACAAATTCCATCCAATAAGAGTTTCTTATTTTAATAACAAATTTCCGAATGATGATTTTGGTTTGTAGCCTGGAGGGAGAAAACTTTGTTAAGATAACAAGTGTGTCATATTGTTAGTAGTATAGCTACCACAAACAATCTTCTAGAATGTCAATATTAAACAAATTAATAATAATGGACTTATTTCTAGTTAGATAGCTACCACTAGAAGATTGTCTGATGTCAATATTAAACAAATTAATAATAATGGACTTATTTCTAGTTAGATAGCTACCACTAGAAGATTGTCTGATGTCAATATTAAACAAATTAATAATAATGGACTTATTTCTAGTTAGATAGCTACCACTAGAAGATTGTTTGATGTCAAT